AAAATTAGGAGGCTTAATATGCTAAAGGGTACGGGATCCGACACAAGTCGGTGTTAGGTAGACGACACTCGCTAAGTGAGCATCTCCCGTCCTAGCACTTGTCCGATCCTTCCACCTTCGGGATAGGTCCACCATACACCATCGTCTGTCTCCACATCATGCGCTCCACGTCCACGTGCTGTACCTAGCGCATACCTAGGATGAGATGCATAGATGCAGATGCATGAACATAAAGAATACACATGAAGGAATGCAACAAGCATACTAAACAAGCATATGTTACACTATACACACATAAGCATGTCATACAACCAGCTAGCTATACATGATCAAGTACTTCACAATTTAGCAAAACATTTTAGGCATGCTACCTTAACTCTAGGTGTCCAAGATAACCATTTGCAATCATACAAACAAGAGCAAGTAGAAGCAAACAATTCTAGATACAAGCAGATTTGGACAGCAGCAAACAGTCACTTGTTTCAAACATAACTTAAGCTACAAACATCCCACAAGGATGATCTAAGACTTTATGAAAATCCATAGAAATTGTATACAAGATTGATGTTTACATAAAAAGCTAATTACAAAGTTAAACAGGTCAAACATGTAGATGTTTCAGACTTGTCCAGACATGGACATAAAACTGATTCCAACTTCAGAGAAGCATAACTGTAGTTACACAAATCCAAATGACTTGCAAGAAGACATTTTGGAAAGCTTATGAAATTATCTACATTTCATCTGTAACCATCATAGCATGATTCACAAGTTAAGTAGGTCGAAATTATACCTTTACAGAAACTGGTTCATACAAAACAGAGAGCAACAAATCCTGTACTCTAACTTTAAACAGTTGTAACTCTTAAACTACTTGGCCAAATGACACCAAATTTTAACAGTAGCTAGATACATGAATTATCTACAACTTTTGTATAAACAAGTTTCACAACAAAGCACATTATCATGAAGAACTTTGCTAAGTTCCCAGATCTATCCATAAACCACATCGGCAAGAAAATAATTATTAACTTATGTTGCAAACACATAATTGGGCAAAACCAACTTTACCAACATGTCACACATGACTAAAGAACACCAGAAAACCTAGAGTCCATGACCAAATAAATTCTTTTAATGCATTTCTTAATTTATTTTAGATAACAAGGTGACTTAAGGAACATATACCAAAAGTATACAATAAATTCTACAAAAATTACAGTGGTTCACATATCCTCTCAATAGTCTACTGTCCAAATTTCACTCTATTTTAATATGTATAGCACCCTCTATGAAAAAGACAAGTTGCTAAAGCAAAAAATCATGTGAGAGCAAGATAAACCAATAACTCACTCATACTTCATACAATACTCATGAAATTTTTACCACACATCAAACATCACATGAGTAGCATGCCACAAAAATTTCACTTCATTTGGAGCCCTACAACTGCAGTTACGAAAAAGACAAATACAACTAGAATTGAAAACCTAGATGCATAAATCTATTTTTACAGCTAAAATTTTAAACTAAAACATGAAAGATTATAGATCTACTGCATATAAAACTTCACAAGGATTCCAAAAAGTCCTCATTTGATAATTTACGAATTTCCTATGATTTACTATGAAGTTTCAAAGTTTTACCCGATTTACAACAAATAAGTCCTCGGAAGCACTATTCACTTGAGTCAATGACATTGCAGCTAGGCCCCCGACTTACGTCGAATTCTAGTAAACAGTCCCTCGACGGGATTAGAAGCAGAGGAGGCATTGTGGCTCGTCGGTGACGGTCGTGAGGGGCTCTTGGCGATGGTGGAGCGGCGGCGAGCACGGGAGGCCAGCGCACTTTCGCCGGTGGCCTCGGCTCGGCTCGAGGTGGTGGGCGTGGAGCCTCACCACGTCTTGTGCTGCCCACACACAATGGCGGCTCCGATGGCGCGGGCTGCTTCTGGGTGTCTCCGCTCGGCCGAGGATCGGCCGGTCGGAGAGGAGAAGGAGGCGGAGGCGTTGGTTCGCGTGGTTGGTCATGAGGGGGCTCGGAAGCTAGGGAACGGCGGCGACGGTGAGCTCGGCCCGCCGGCCATGGTGGACGCACATCCCGCCCATGAGGCGGAGGCGAGGAGAAGCGAGAGGGAGCGGCGAGCAGGAGTGGAGAAGGGATGGAGAGCTCGGCCGGGGCTCTGGTTATCCGTGATCAGGCGTAGGCACGCTTGGCATGGAGGTGGGGCGCTCGGCTCGCGCATGGCTGCCACGCCTACAGCCACGCGTCGTCGGCATTTTGACGACGGTGGTGGCGCGTGCCAGCGTCTTGAAGCCGTTTTTGGAAGCCTTTTTGGGCTGGTTCGGTAGGGAATTTGATGGTGGGCCTTTAACGAAGTTTGATCTCCATCCGATGCTCTACAAATTTTGTTAAAGGTTCATAGCCATTAGAGCAAAGGATTAAGAGATAAATAGGCCCTAATTTGACACTGTCAATGAATTAATGTCGATCAAAGTAAAGCTCGGTTTTTGTTCATTTTGGGAAGTCAAACTTGGTCCAATTGATCCCATCTTTGGGTATCCTCTTCTCCAAATAATTATCTCCAACTTTTATTTTTGGACCAACTCAAGTTGCTTAGCAAAATTTGGAAGCGCGGAATGCCAATGGCGATGACGATGAATTCCAGACTTAGAAAAATTCTAAGTCTGAAAACAGCCGCTGATTCAATTTTCGAGCCTCTGTTTGACTTAGTTCCAAGTTGATCTGGCTCTTGCTCCAAAAACAAAGTTTGTTCTACTCTACTCAATCTTCAACTTTTATTTAAGGTGCAACTTCAAAACTGGTATAGAACCTACTGTTCTACTTTGACCAAAGTAGGATCACGATGAAGCTTAAATTATCCTTTTTGATCCATTGGAGCATTTTCTGGCCACCTGCTCAACATGAACCCTTCATAACTTTTGTTCATGAGTGCAAGTAGAGTTGTTTGAGCAAGGTACCAAGGTTTGGTTGACTTCATAGGTTTCCATCCACTTGATAAAGCAATTCATGCCAAGATATGACTTATCATTTCATGTGACTTTTTGATTCCAAACTTCATGAAACTTTTCCATGGGTCTAGATGGATGCATGGGGATGTAATGTACATGGAATAAGCATGTTTAACATTACTCTTGCATAATCTTAACAAGGGTCCATATGTAAGCAATGTGCGTGGCCCAAGTTTAAGTTGGAGCTCCATCATGTAAATTTGATCTTGACACCTTGATTACCACTTGACATGTCATGTTTGAGCTCAAACCCAGTGCTTAACTGGTGATAAACACCTGGGGTGTTACATTAAATATTAAATTTATATCAAGAAGGTGTCAACAAAGATAAACACCGTCATTCATATTGTTGACACCATTTCAATCAAGATCAGCAACCTAAGGGACGAAGAGCTATGGTCTCGAGCATTTGAGCTGATTCAAGGGTATGTGTAATTCCATCTTTTGTTCCTTGAGTTGGATTCGTCTTCTACCCTTGTTTATTGCTAATGAATAAATATATTCCTATTTCTTAAAAGTGGGCTATATAATGCGAGACACTTTATTAAAAAAAAATGTATGAGACACTTTCCAAAAATGTCTTAGACGCTTCCATGTAAGTATGCATGTACATGTTGTGTGTGTAAAGTGCATTCGTCCTTTGAATAGTTGTCTAGGTTCGGTAGATTCATGGGAATCATGAATTTGGTTGTTAACTTTGGTAATTTGAATGAACTTTAGGTTTATGCAAATATGCCATGCCATGTCAAAATGCCATCATATCCAATGTCTTGACTTGTGCCAAGCAAAGAACAGAGAGTCTACCTTTTGACGTTCACGGCGGCACCGGCTACATAGCCAGCTGACATGGAGCTAAAACAAAAAAAAGACAGATATATTCTCAAATTGTCTCGGTGTTACTGGACCCACATGTTCCTCTATCCACATCAGTGGCAGTCTAGTCAGCCAGCGAAATAGCCGCTGCGAGATTCAGTGAAGCTCACTCTCATCAATTTGGGGCTGCAAAATTGAGATTAAACTATTGGACACGACTGCCACTTTTTGTGCATGGTTCAATGCCCAGAAGAAATATGGTAGTTCTTTAAGTGAATGGCACAAGAAGGGATTCCAATATGTGCCTCACACTACACAAAAACATCTCTTTCAGCACGCCGGCAATGCATGCATGATCTGGAAGGTGGTTGTGGCATTGCTCCTCAAAACCAAATTAGCAATATAGACATGTACAGTACTCTACTCCAGGCACAGATCGAGGCCCACAGCACTGCAGTCTACTCACAAGGTCGATATCGATCCTGTCTCAATGCATGGGATCGGCGGCGGATTCAGTCCAGACCCCAGACAGGCAAGAACACACTGACCTCTCATGATTAGGGCTTGTCGACGTATCAGGCCAGCACAAAGCCTGATCAACGACCTTGTCCATCTCAAACGTTTCCAGCATAAAACAACTCGCAAATCGCGGGTACGTACGGCCACCGGATCATACGGATAATCCCGTACCTGATCCGGTCTCGTGCTTCCATTGTCCTTGTCCGTGCGCAACGCCGCGGCAGCTTCCTTCACCGTCGCCGGCCGTGGAGACGCCACGTACCCTGCTGGTAGCCTGGTACTCCTACGTTCACGCACGCCCAGCCGAACCGACCAACCACTCCCCAGCGGCGGTTCGCAACCGCCCGACGCTTCCTCGTTCGTAATCGTACGTACAGTCCGTGCTCGTCGTGCGTCGCCGCTGCCGCGGTCGCGGGTGGCACGCCAGCCAGGCCGTGCCCGCCCCGGGCCCCGGCCGCCGCCGACATGACAGCGCACGGGAAACCTGCCATGTCTGGACGCGTGCGTTCATGGCCGTGGTATATATCCGCTCGGCGTGGCGAGTCCACTGGATCAAGCGCCTGCCTGCCTCTGAGAATCGAGCAGCTCGACCGTACGGACTATACTCGGTCGGAGTGAGGTGATCAGTAGCTGGCCATGGAGCAGCAGCTGCGCGCGCTGAGGCAGCACGTCCTCGTCGCGTCGTCCTCCTCCTCCTCGGCAGCGGCGATGGCCGGCGCCCTGGAGGGCGTGGCGCGCGTGTACGACGAGCACGCGGAGTCACTGGCGCGGTCGGCCGCGCGCGCCGACCGGGTGGAGGACGAGTTGGAGGCCTCCGTGGCTCTGCTGGACGCGTGCGCCGCGGCGCGGGACGTGCTGGGCGCCATGCGAGCGCGCGCCTGGCGAAGAGGGCATGCGCGGACGCCAGGAGGCAGCGCCGCCGCGCCGGCTCGAGCTCGAGGCCGTCGCCGTCGGCCGAGGCCGAGCTGGACGGGGGCCACGCGCTTCAGGAAGCGCGGTGGCTCACCGTTGCCGTCCTGGAGCGCGTCGTGGTGGCGCTGTCCCGGCGTGTGCCCGCGGTCGGCTGCGTCGGGCCGCGTCGGTCGGCGTCGGCCAGCAGCTGGGCCACGTGCGTCGCCAGGTTACATGCTGACCGCTTCCTCCTTGTCGTCCAAGGACTCGCACGACGGCGAGGGGGCGCTGCGGGCGCAGCGAGACCTCAGAGCGCTGGTCGACACGATCCGACAGCTGGAGGACGGGCTTGAGCTGCTGTTCAGGCGCCTGGTGCAGTGCAGGGTGTGTTTGCTGAACACGCGCAGCTTTTAGTTACAGAAGCTGCCGAAACTGCTGCACCTGCACACTTTGATCAGAGCTTGAGATACAAGTAGCCGTGCTTGTAGATCTGATAGGACTAGGACAGATGATCTATGTAAAAAAAATTGATACTTGGGTGCTCCATGCATGAAGGATAAGATTAGCACTATTGGAAAGTTGAGTAATTCATGCAGTATCAGAATGGTAATGCTTATATTACATATCTCTCAATGTCTGATGCATCATGGAACATCCCACAAACCAAATGATTACTAAAAGATTTATCAGAAGTCAGATCTGTACAAGCCAATGGATATAGTTTCGCTTCTCTTTTGGTAACTTGTCATGTCATTTTCGTGTATCATCTCTTATATAGATCATACATATAAGCTTTTTTTTGTAGAGTCGCACTTAATATATGGTGTAAAAGACTTCCATACTTCAACACAAAAAAATCCTGACAGGGAAGGAAACAACACACAAGTCATGGCTCCCTCAGCGTGCAATGTAAAATTGTGCATCAATATGTTTACCTTGCATGGTGAAGGCTGTGTGTCAATATGTATTAGAAAAAGGGGTCATGTTGTGTCCATCAATATGACATTTGAATTATAAAAGGGCAAAAAATATTGTGACAGACTTAGACATTTTCTGTGCGGAGATTGTTTCTAGCTCAGTTGGCTACTTCATCATCAAACAAAGTGCACAGCAACACATTTGGCGCAACTTACATGTATCAAATTTGAGATTTTCAGACAACCTGCCATCATCTACGACCCAAGGAACCAATCATCACGGAGTCAAGTTCATGCACGTACTTTCACGGGGACTGATTTTGATGCTGGCATGCTGCTGCCTGTTGAGCGACGGGCAAGGAAACCGTCCATCCACGCCGCATGCTGAACGGACTGAACTCAGGCGGCGCTTGAACCAGACATTGCCCAACATGGCACCGTACCAGGTGAGTACAAATGGAGGATCCTGCCTCGGATTGCACAAGCATGCCGCGACACCGATGAACCTTCCATGAACTTGAGGTTCCAGGGCATCCACTGGACGGACCCAACCCAACAGCCCATCAAGCCCCTCACGCGTGCACTCTACAGTACTTTGCTGGCGACGCATCCAGCATGACAACCCAGCCCATGTTAGTTCGCCACACAATTTGAGTGAAGGGAATCAGCTCTGTCTGTGACCTGCAAATCTGCAATCAGGGTGCTCCGCTCCGGAGGTCCCTGCCCTCCTTCCGGTGCCAGCAGCACCGTACCATCCTCTCAACCTCTGCCTGACTATAAGAAGGGAAAGGGAGAGCAACACCATGATCCATCATTCGTCATCTTCTCCCTTTGCCTACCTCATCTCCCTTCTCATCAACACCAAAAGACAGCACCAAATTCCCTCCCAAACATGGCCGGACATCAGCGATCGACAAGCTGGCCATCCATGGCTCATCCCAACAAGACCGAGATGCAAGAAGCTCTGCAAAGCATAGTCTCTCTCATTTCTACGCTGGCGGCGGCTACCAGTACCATCGAAGTGGTGTGCGACGGTCTGAGGAGGCTTGGAGACGTGTACAGCCACATCGACGAGGCCATATGCCTGCATAGCAACCACAACCAGCTGGTGCACGGGAAGAAGAGGCTGGAGGAAGAAATGGAGAGGTCGCTGCAGGTGCTGGACCTCTGCAACACCCTGCAAGAAAGCTTCGGTGACCTGAAGATGACCGTCCAGGAGCTGCAGATGGTTCTCAACAGAGGGGACCTCCCGGTAGCTCAGATCAAGGCTCAGTCCTACGCCCGGCTGGTGAAGAAGGCCAAGCACCAGCTGAAGAAAGCTGCCAGCAGCAAGTCTTCTACCTCGTCGTCGTCGTCGTCCCATGAGGATGCGTGGTTGGACAGTTTGTTGACCACGGCGAGAGGAATCACTGTCTCGGCGCTGAGATCTGCAGTGGAGCTCCTGGCGAAGCAAATGGCGACCTGTGGCGAGAGCAAGTGGTCGCTGATCACCAAATCGATGCAGAAGAGAGTTTCGTGCGAGGTGCAGTTGCAGGCACTGGAGTTGGGGATTGTCGGCCTAGAGAGCTCAGTTGAGAACCTTTTCAGAAGTCTGATCCAGACCAGGGTCTCTCTTCTCAACACTCTCAGCTTGTAGATTATTCTCCACTGGTGCACTGTGATTGGCATCCGAGTTTTATAGGATCTGTCAGTCAGCATGAAATTTTATACATCATATGTATACAGCTCAAAATATATAGCAGCAGATAGAATTATTATAAACACATGGTTCTGTTCTCTGGAAAAAGAAATTGCATAGTTCCTGTGTTAACCATCCATGCATTTTTGCTGCCAAACAGTTTATTAATGGACTTCATTTATAATTTAACTAGCCTAGCAGCTATGGATACAAGTTTGATCTTTTCTGGGTCATTGGCCCATTGGGTGGAAGGCTCTACTGTGGCGGAGGGTGGAAGGCTCGCTTGGGAGATCAAGTCACTTGCTGTAAACCAATGGACCATAAATATGATAAAGCTTTCTCCAAACTTCTGGATCCCACTGCTCCATCCTCTGTATCAGTCCCTGAGGGCTTCCTCCAAGAGCTTGCTGATTTGCATTTGGTAACTTATGAAAGTGTTTGAAGCAATTGCGGCATTGTTGAATATACTCGAATGGATACTCTGTGTTTTTCTTCCATTTGCCCCCTAAAGCATTTATATCCACTAATTCTTGAACAGCAGAATCATCATCATTGCAGGGCCAACGAATCACTCCACTATTATTGATTCTCGAGCGAACACATAGCTCTCCTTGTCAATGAAAGTCCAACTGTCTGGGTATCTCTCTAAGAAAGTATGAAGAGGAACACTAAGGTCTTGGTCAACATGCCGAGCTTTTGCAGGATCACAGATGTAACTAATGAAGTTTTTTGAGTTGTCAGTTAAATCAATGCGGAGTATCCGACAACATTCAGTGATAAACTCTTGCATCTTCTCTGCCATAGCTCCAGGCTTAAAATGCCTCTTCTGAGCTGTAGCAAATATATGATTTATTAGTGCATTTTACAATTAGTAGTTAAGAATAACGGTAAAATGTTTACTTTACTATCGTACCATCTGTGAGTAACACTTGGATCTTTGGAACACCACTTACAACTTTGATATAGCAGTCCCCTCATTTAGCATTTGCATGTTGTGGCATTTCACAAAATATTTTGCAATAGCATCACCTAGTACGCTGCGATCGTGGCATTTTACAGAACATTTTACAAGAGTTTCTCCTAACACACTGCAATCACCAAACCATTCACACCACTGAAGTTAGGGACTATGCATGAAAAAATAACAATAACTATACATAGAACTACATCATGAAACGACAACTCTTTACTAATATGATTACTATCTCCTTCCTGGAAAACGTATCATCCTAGGATTTAAAATTTATATACCAAAAACGTATCATTCTAGCCTATAGTACTAGACATCAAATGGAACATCCATATTAATTCAATGAATATTAACCATTCAATGAATACTACTAATTAGACCCAGATAGAAACTAATCTGCATAGGCTTCCTTATTTATGTGAGCGCATACAGCCTATTTCAGGGAAACACCTATTTATAATAAATAGGGGGTACATTCTTTCCTCTTTATTGTCCTATAAAAATCCTATAAAGTCAAGTTTTTTTTAAAAAACGGAGGAGGGCATTATATTTTAAAAGAAGAGTATGGTTAATAAGTTAGCAAATATATAATATGCATGACAAAAAAAAGGAACGGTAAGAATACTCACATAAGCATGGCTCTAAATTGTGGTGTTATATCTTTGTTTTGACCAACTCCCTGAAACATGGACGAACCATTCTGGCTATTCATCCAGCCCTTGAGAGAACCACTAACGCATGGAACAATAAACCAACCATGACCTCTTGTGGAATAATTCTCTATCGGAAGCAGGTTTGGGTGTCTAAATCCACGGAGAAGACCATAAGTTTCTGAGGATATTCTAAAGAGTGCGTTGCCCTTTTTGACCATCATCCTAATAGGAGAGAGGCCGTCCATTCCATACATATGAGTTTCCAGGCCCAATTTACTGCCATCAAAATCCATTGGTCTATCACTTTTGTTGATCTCAGTGAGCACTGCATCTTTACTTGATGCATTTTTGGAATGCTCTTCATACACTTGATGATACTGTTCTTTGTCCTTGTCCATGTCTGCCAACTTGTATGATCTGATCTGTACAAAAAGGAAACAAAAATGGGCAGTCCTTAGATTGTATACATACTCAAGAAATACAAAAAAAGAGCATGGCGTATGGTACCTTAAAGTAAACCTATTTATTGATTTTTTTGATGAATCATTTGTCATCTTGGTAGAAATATGCTACCAAATAGAACGGTCATTGATCTTGTTCAGATATTTTATAGGAAGAGAAATAAAGCATAAAACAATACCACTACAACAGAGAGTATCCAAATCTTATGAAGACTGAATTGAATTCTTCGATATATCAGACATGGGAAATCATACAGATAGCCTTAATCACAAGAAGGAAAATAAAAATGAGTTGAATTTTGTACAAATGAAGCCAAAAAAAATCACAGTAATAAATTAAAAGCATGTAGTGCTTGTGGTACCAAATATACAATGGCTGTAACTAGCATTCAGGGTGGCAGCACAGAGAAGATAATAAAGGAATTGAAAGCAAATATTGGCCAATCACATTGCATGATAGAACAGTAGGAGCATGGGTAAGTCCAATTAAACTAATGGTCCTTTCGTTTCCGGATAAACTATACTATACTAACAAACAAATCTTGAAATGGACCACTGATTTTCTCTTGAAAGAAAAAGAGCAGAAGTGCATCTGATTCGTGGGCTAGGGTTTTGAATGGACTGGATCAGTGTCGCAGCCCACATGCGGTGGTCGCAGCCCAACCAGCCATATATTTTACCACAGCGGCACTGCCTACTACTGTAGTACTACTACTCAGGGTGATCATCGATCGCCGCCGTAGCATAGCACGGGGACAGCTGGGGCCGCCACCGCCAGCAAAGGTCGGCCCCAACCAAGCAACATCCAAGCGAACAAGTGGCGGGGTGTGAGTGGTGAATGGGCACTTACCCAGCTGTAGAGGGGCAGATGGAAGGCAATCAAGCTACTCCCAACCGAGTGCCGGCATTAGGGCAGGAGCACGCGGACGCGGTCGGAGATGGCGATGGCTCGATGCGGATGGGGAACAGAGACGGGATTTGAGACGAGAGACCAAGACCAAGGTCCTCTGGTTTGCTTTTTTTTCCCCTACTGTTTTCCGCTTTTCTTTTTTGGGTAAAGGAGACAATGATCGACCGGCTTGGCGTATCCATTTTCGGTATGCAAATAATAGAGGGGAGAGACAAGAGAGCAACAAGTGTGTAAGCACGGACGGAGTCTGGTGCTCCGCCTCCTCTACTATGGTCTACGGAGTAGTATAGTACTACCATATACTCCTCATGTTTTTGCAGTAATAATAATACTGTAATGCAGTAATTAAGCATCCTTCTTTCCCCTCCTTTTTTCTAGAAAAACAAGAAGGAAAAGTATGCTTACAGCAGCATTTATTTGCACCGAAGCAAGGTTAGTCTAGTTCATTACTCTAATTAATACTCTGGCGCCGCGTAGTACGCCTGTTTGTTTATCCAGCTTTTATAAGAAACCGTAGTCTGCAAACTACTCAGATTAGGAGCCAGCTTATATATAATATATACTCCCTCCGGGCAGCTTTATAAGGCATTCTCGCGTTTTTTAGAAAGACCAGTATGTAGGGCGCCACAACTGTTTCGAGGCGTTTGCGTAGTCTATGGTTTTGTTGCATGGGACGCTTCGTTTTTGCTAACCTTTCTTCTACTATTGCGCACCGCATGCACTAGGAAATCAGTCAATCGTGAAGCACATTCTAGCATGCGAGAGCTGCAGTTAATTAAGTCTGGTGCTACAGTTAATCTTGTGCACATACTTCCACCACTCGTCTTGGTATCTGCAATTTTCTGTGTCACGCCTAAAAAAGCTGCCCAGAGGGAGTACGTATATAGTAATTCGGACCACGGCTTACCATAATCCTATTATTCCTATATAAAATTTTGCTGGCCCAGCTTATTTCACATTTCTCTTCCACAACTCAAATATTCTTATCAAATGAGTCGTAGGACAATTTATATAGTAGTATATATATTGCAACACATTAATAAGCTGGAAAGAAGAACAGAAAAGTCGTCTTCCTTTCTCTAATGCACGTGTCGTCACGCAGAGGTCCCACCGCACTTTTCCCAGGAGTCGACTAGTCGACGACCGACCGCTTGCCTCGGATCTGGAGGCGGAGTAGGGGCAAAGAAAAGAGAGGGACTGAGGGGAGTTTACAGTGTAGTACTACTACTATATATATATATATTCCGCGTCTCCGCCAAACCCCGAAGCCCCACCCAGGCCGGGCCCCAGGAACTAGCTTTGTGCACCTCGATTTTGTTTCCTCGTCCGCAAGAAAACAAACTTTTATATTTTGTTATATTATATATAAATCCCGTGCGTATGGATGTGCGTGCTCTGGAATCACATTTCGTGCTATTTATTAGAGTACTACTATATACTAGGTTTGAGTCTTTATTTATGTCAGGGAACAAAACTGAATACTAGTACTACTCCAGTGATCCAATTTAGTAGTATCTCCGCCCTGAAAGTATGTTATTTTTGTCCTAAAAGTAAACTACCCTAAATTTAACTAATTTACATAAAATAATACTGATATTTATAGTTAGCAAATAAATTCACCAAGTTCGTCATGTACCACATTTTTATACGCATGTATTTGGTGGCATAACAGTTAATAATCATCAATACAAATGTTGTCAAATTCAAAATAATTTTACTTGGAATCAATCTACGATGTCATATATCTTTTAGAACAGAGGTTTATTTGTACCTAGTTTTCTCGATATGATCTCTTAGGCCAATTTCAATGGGGTTTCCGTTTCACAAGAGTTTCATGGAGATTAAATGTGCTGATATGGCATTGTATTGATGAAGAGAGATGATGAAAGTCTCATGGGAGCAGAGATAATTTCATGGGGATAAAACTTTTCTGCACTGTTTCCAAAATATAAGTGCGTTGGTAAGTGAGCCATGAAACCCCTAAGGCCAGTCTCAGTGGGGTTTTTTTTAGAGTTTCATTTGCATTTAATAGCCTGCCACATATGCATTTTTAATGACATGTCAATGTTTTAATGAAGAGAGAGGAAGTGAGTTTCATGGGATGAAACTCTCTTGGCACGATTACCAACTCTCTATGAGTCATAGAATTAAATGTCTACGAAACCATGGAATGAAACTTTGCATTGAGAGTGTGTGTTTCATCCAAGTTTCATTTGATTCTAGATGATATGACGGTCTTGGAAACGGCGTAATGAAACTCTCCACTGAGACTGGCTTTATGTGTGTGCGCGGTTGTGTGTGTTCGAGGCGGAATCGGTTTTCGGCTCTGTTGAGATTAGGTTACGGTTAGGTCTCCTTCCCATATTTGGTCCCTGCAAATTATTTGCAAGGATCAAATAACTTATATAAATCAAAGAGGTTGGTCAACAAAGGAGTCCTCATGTTTTTTGAAAGTTTGAGATGCTTGGTCCTCGATGTGGCTCCTCTAACCTCGTCCTGTCACTGCGTAGAGCACTAGAACGAGCTCGTCGCGCCGGCGCCAGTTCGCGAACAGAGCCCCGAAACATGATCCGTCACATGTTCTAAGGGGTTTGGGGCAATTTTTACGAGTTCCACGTGACAACCAACACAACTTCGACCTACACCACGCTAATGTACTCACTTTGACGCAATCGACTATACCAAAACATGCAGCTAGTGTTTAAACATTTTTGTTAGAATTTAAATGTCAAAATAGCATTGTCTTACTACTTTTCCGTACTTAGAAAAGTTAAGGATTTCAATTGAGGTTAAGTAACCATTAACTCTTTTGTCGCAATTTTTAATAGATCTAAACCTTGTTAACTTCAACCAACAATTACTTCATGCAATAGTCCATACCTTATACTAACCCGTAGGAGCAAAATATCTAAGCACCATTTAACTATTTTGCTCAATATAATTCGCCAAAAATGGTACTTTAAATATAAATTCAAGTGTTTGCCGACTTAACGAAAAGAGCTTATCTTAACGTCAAGTTTGATTTTAGAGCTCCCAAAACACTAGTTAACAACATCTATTTTCCAAAAGTTAAAGTTGCATAGTCATCTAACAAGTTTGTACTTCCAACTTTATTTAAGTGACACATGCATGTTCTATAGTATTTTTGCTTAATAGAAATTAGTTTTAAACTCTAAGTGATATAACATGACTATTGAATCAACTTTCGCTTAGCATTTTTGTTGATCGTTTTGAGTTACGAAAATTGATCTACACACTTTATCACATGCATTGACACATAAACATGATGCTCATGACATATTTTAGCAAGTTGTTTAAGCGGTAACACCGAGGGTGTTACAATTGCTAGGCTTGATTTGCCGTTAGGTATTGGTGAGACAGAGGCCTGGGAAGAGTATATTGTTCGTGCTCATAACACTAGGTTTGTTAAGGTATCTAGACAGACCACCACTAGAGATCTTAGCAAACTGTTTACTGAACATCGTAATATTCTTAAGAACTCTGTGTTGTCTGCTGCTTCCTCTGTTGCTCTGACATCAGACATTTGATCTGGTAATGCTAAGGAGGACTACATTAGTGTTCCGTCTTTCCAAAATCACCATATCTACGCCCTGTTCGTTTGGCTTATAAGCCGTACTTTTTCAGCCAAATAACAATATTTTTTTCTCACAACAAATCAGCCAACAATACTTTCAGTCATGGCTTATCAGCCAAGCGAACAGGGCACTAGTCTACTAGGTTAAAATAAAGTATGCATGTACTTCATTTCATGATTTTACTATTTCTTATCTCATAGATCCTCCTATCAAAATTCCCTGGCATCAAGGAGGCAGTACAGGTTGGAATTGCAATTTGCAAAGCAATAGAATAAAATCAGAAATGCAAGCTCAGATGGAAACATAAATCCTGAGACATCAAAATAAGATGAAAGCACAAGATTAGTCCTCAATTCCTCATATATATATAGCCCAAGTTCTCTAGCAATACGAACTAGTTCCAAACATAAAGGAGGGAATAATACTGTCTCAACATATATGTAGCCCAAGTTCTCTAGCAATACGAACTAGTTCCAGACAAAAACGAGGAATAATACTGTCTCAACTTATATGTAGCCCAAGTTGTCTAGCAATACGAACTAGTTCCAGACATAAACGACGAGGAATAAGATTGTCAACTCCTACGTCTTCTTCAATCTCTCCATCGCTTTTAAGCTCCGCTTCATGTGTATAAGCCCCACTCACAAACTGAACGTAACTAACTCGACCTCCTGTGTACAACGGTTTGTTCTCTCTCACACGATTGTTATTCATTGCAGTTAGAACTCCACCGTGGTCATCCAAATTCCACGGTGGAAATAAAACCCAATGCTTATACACATGAATCGAGGTCTAGTAATGCCTTAAGTTGTAGATGCTTAGAGGTCTAGTAATGTACTATTCGTACCTTATGTTCATGAATTATAATTTCTTCTATGTCTTTATTCTAATGCAATGACTTTTAAAACTATAGACAATTGATTGAGGCTATTGATGAGCTAAGAACAAACGAATTGTACCATGAAAATCTGAATCTCAACAACAATTATTATGACATGGGTTCTACACTTTTTAAATTAGGCAATTTCAGAGAGAAAGGTAAATATTATGTTTTGTATGGATGGATAATTTATATGTTATTAAACAACTCATGGTTTTATATTTTATAGGGAAACAAACTGGTAAGGTCACAGTTAGAAGATTGGGACGCATCTGGTACTATGATCAAGGAAATTACAGATATATTAAAGAATTGAATCCTGATTTGAAGTTGTGGTTGGAGGACTTGTCACACTTCCTGAAAAATCACGGGTATATTGATGAAAACAATTATTCCAATACAATACTGCAATGTGGTTGCATCTAATTGACCATCTCACCTCTTACTTAATGTTATGGGTGGCTGGAGGGCCAGCACACCTGCCTCTGATGGCAAGAAATTAATCTTTAGAAATAAGGAAGTAGCCTGATCTAATCTAATATCTTTCCTAATGCTTATCCCTTACCATGAGAGGCAGGTGGGCTAGCTCTCCGACCACCAATATAACACTTATTTTTCTCCATCAGCAAGATATACAATTAAGCTCGTTAAATTGTGTAATGTCTTTTGGTTTGACTGACTAGTTTACTTTTCCTTCAATTTGCCAATTGAGCAGGTCAAGGATTAGAGCATTGAATCATGTGTATTTTTGAGACAAACGTCGGATGACTTCTTTTTTCGTGCATGGTGTTGTAAGAGTTTTGAAGAATAATGCATTCAGACAAAGGGTTGAAGCATTGGATTTTATTTCCACATAGTGGAATTTGGATGACAACGGTGGAGTTCTAACTGCAATGAATAACAATCGTGTGAGAGAGAACAAACCGTTGTACACAAGAGGCCGAGTTAGTTACGTTCAGTTTGTGAGTGGGGCTTATACACATGAAGCGGAGCTTAAAAGCGATGGAGAGATTGAAGAAGATGTAGGAGTTGACAATCTTATTCCTCATCGTTTATGTCTGGAACTAGTTCGTATTGTTAGACAACTTGGGCTACATATAAGTTGAGACAGTATTATTCCTCGTTTATGTCTGGAACTAGTTCGTATTGCTAGAGAACTTGGGCTACATATATGTTGAGACAATATTATTCCCTCCTTTATGTCTGGAACTAGTTCGTATTGCTAGAGAACTTGGGCTATATATATGAGGAATTGAGGACTAATCTTGTGCTTTCATCTTATTCTGTTTATTTTGATGTCTCGGGATTTAGGTTTCCATTTGAGCTTGCATTTCCGATTTTATTCTATTGCTTTGCAAATTGCAATTCCAACCTGAACTGCCTCCTTGATGCCCGTGCATTGCGAAGGAATTTTGATAGGAGGATCTATGAGATAAGAAATAGTAAAATCATGAAATGAAGTAAACGCATACTTTATTTGAACCTAGTAGACTAGTGCCATGTTTGCTTGGCTGATAAGCCATGGCTGAAAGTACTGTTGGCTGATTTGTTGTGAGAAAAAATACTGTTCTTTGGCTGAAAAAGTACGCTTATAAGCCAAGCGAACATGGCGTAGATATGGTGATTTTGGAAAGACGGAACCCCCGCCGTACAACGGGTGCGATTCTTACGAGTTCTTGCCATTGTAAAGGGATGATTGACACCTTTTACGTGTGTTTGTTTTTCACCAGAATTTTAATTTTTTATTACACACCCGCCGTACCAGGGGCGGAGCTACAGGGTGGACAGGGTGGGCCACGGACCACCCCGTAGATTTGGCCCAAAGTTTAGTACCCCTCAGTATTCGGCCGTGGACTCTGCTGGGCTGGCCTATGTGCTTCTGCTGCCGAATCCCCCGATCGAGCCTAAAAATGAAGTCCAAGCGGCATCCGCGTCTCAGACTCTCAGCGACCTGCACCTTGGTCTTCTGACTCCAACCGGCAACCGTCCAAACTCGTATTCGGCGTCTCGACTCTCAACGGTCTGTATTTGCAGCAGCAGAGCAGCCGCCGGCCACCCGGCCAGACGTCAGAGTCAGGGGCAAGGCTAGCAACGCACAACCTGTATGTTGATCTTGATATCCTTTCTTCTTTACTCGAGTTCTTTACGTTTCTCTCTCTCTGTATCAAGTGATTAAACCCTAAATTGAGTGCTAACAGGAGATAATCATTTAATCATAGGTTTTCAAAAAAATCATTTAATCAACAATCTACTGTTCAACTTCAATTCAATTCACAACAAGTATTGCATCTGCTACAGACTATAGTGTTACGGCAATTCACGGCAATTCAATTTCATCTCAATTTTAAAATTTTATTGTAGCACTGAAATAATTTAGATATTTAGGCCCCGTTTGGCAGGGCTTCTCTAGCGGCTTCAGGAGCCGCTTGGAGCCGTTTTCTGCCAAACGGGATAAAATAAAACGGCTCCACTGATGAAGCCCCTAAAAACGTACTCTCACAGAGCTTTGGGGTGGGAAAAAGCAAAAAAATAGTGGCTTCTCTCGGCTTCACCTCATTCTACATGGCGTTCTCTGAGAGCATATTTTAAGAAAAACTATATGTGAAGCTGTTTTGCCAAATGATTTATCAAAACGGCTACAACTCCACCCATAGAGCTGTTCATGGAGCTGAAGCCCCAAAAAAGGGCTTCATGGGTGAAGTGGAGCCGTGCCAAACGGGGCCTTAATTGAAACATTGGGCTTGTTTATTTCTCTTGCAGATTTGTTGAAAATGAAGAGGAGTGGTGATATCGCCTCTCTTTTTCAGAAATATGAATCAAAGAAGTATTCTTCTCCATCTCCTTCGCTGGCTGCAGCTGTTTGCCGAGTGTTACACTCGGCAAAGCCTTTGCCGAACGTTTTGTGGGCTCTGCCGAGTGTATGTGGCACACAGCAAAGCCACTGTTTCCGGTAGTGAGTGACATATTGTTCTTCAACTATTATTTTTTTGCGACTTGTTCTTCAACTATTATAGGTACGTAATATTTCAATTCTATGTTAAGAAAGTTACACTCATCTATTTTACGAACTCTCCTTTTTTTATGTGTTTTGTAATTCATATACTTGTGCACCGACATGTTAAATTTATAGCGGCTAAAAAAAATTTTAGACAATGGACCACTATAGCTACGAATCCTAGCTACGCCACTGCGCCGTACCCAGGTTGCCCCTCCCCAACCTACCTTCCTTCTATCGTTAGCGCATGTACAACGGGTGATAAGAGTCGTCTGTATAACATGTTTTTTTTCTTATATATATATATAATATACGGATTGTCAACATCTACCCGGCATGACCAAAAGACTCATGCGATCCATATCCAGCAGGCAAATAATCACCGCATGAAGACACTGGAAGGCAAGTAAATAAAATAGAATAAAACGGAAAGAGAATTATAGGAAGAGAAAGGAATTTATTGGAATATCACCATGCAATGATCATGATCGTGATCCAAATCTCGTTCGTCGTCCTTCGCGTTGCGTGTTGACAACAAATACTTTTTTCTCCAAAAAATGAATTGTTGCCATGCCTCATGCGGACTAGGATATTGTAAGTCTGAGTATACATGTTTTGGGCAAGGCAGAGCATGGATAAATTCAATTCGATGCCTAGCAATAAATTTTCAGCCTTTGAGGCAGCTGATGTTTGTCGTAACTTTCAGACAACAAGCTCCAAGCCTAGCTTTTATTTCAGATTCATTACGATAATGAATGTGTTTCTAGGCATTATCATGGTATAATACATGTGAAAAATTGAATTGATATATTCTCGATTTTGACTTGGCTAACAAACATCTCATTCAATTTATGTTGCACCCGTTGCAACGCACGGGCACTCATCTAGTATGTATGTCAGTGTTCAAAAAGGCGACGCCTTAGGCGCGACTAGTCGCTAGTCGATGGGTTCCCGCCTGGCCTATGGGGGTAGGCGGACATCCAGGCGCAAGGAGGTAGGTCGCGGTGGGGAGGTCGCAGCGGGAGGTCGGTATATATATAGGCGGCAAAGGCGGGGTGGGTCCGACCGGCCTAGGGGTAGCGGACCCCTAGGTGGCGCCACTGGCTTGGGTCGGTGAGCTCAAGGAGGTCGCCGGTAGAGGAGCTGGAAGCTGAGCGTCTTGTAAGGCGAAGCAAGCACGCACTAGAGAGGAGAGAGAGATCTTGGGAGGGAGAGGAATCGAGGCGGTGATGATCTGAGCAATGAGCAGAGGAAGGGCGTCGGCGAGCAGAGGATGCGGGAGACCGAACAGAAGGATTAGGTTGGAGACCTGGAGTGGGAGATGGGCTGGACTGTTGCCATTTGGGCCTTTCAATCTATCTAAACCCACTATTTCAGCTGTTTATTTTTTTTCTTTTAGAAGATAATATATGTATATTAGTATATATACAAAACGCCTAGAAAAACGCCTTAAAACGCCTAGGCTTGCTTAAGCTCGCCTAGGCTCTAGGCTATGGGTCATCGCCTAGAAGTCGCCTAGCGCCTAGCTGAACTTTGATGTATGTATATATATATATATAAGAAAAAAAGCCCCTCGCCCTGCTGTGGAACCGCATATTCTCTGACTTGGTTCAGAAAAGTCACATGTGACTTTCTCTATGCCTGATGCTGTCCATTTACGATCCAACGGTGGCTGCGCATCTCAGCTCTACCACTCTCAGCCTGTCCAGCCCAAACATAAAAAGCAGCCTATGTGAGGCCCACTTCGTGAAGGACCCGTAGTTTCACACTATCTCAATCCCCACCTATAGACCACCCATACAGATCAATCCCCACCTATAGTCCACCCATATACAGATCGTGAAGAAGGGAAATTAGGGTTTGCCCTGTCGAGATGCTGCCCGCCGTCAGATTTGTTCCGCTCAGCGGCGCTGGAGAGGGGGGAAGCGTGATGGCGTGGACGGGAGAGAAGAGACGCAAGTCCACCCGACCATCTCCTCTTGGTTCCTTCGGCAATGATGCGGACATGATGGACATCGAAGAGGAGCAAGGCCGCAACGGGGGCGGCAGAAAACATCCACCGGAGGAGCACGAGGGGGAGGACACGGGGTCCGTTGTTTACTCGGTAAACGACGAGTTCAGTAAAGAGGACTTAGCTCCCTACTTGAATAAGGTCAAGTCGCGCAAACCACCTATTCTTAGTTCGTTCGAACACCATCCCGTCTTGTCCGAAGAAGAGGTAGAGAAGCTGCTTGTGCGCTTCTGTAATCTTCGATTCAGAGAATATTGCGAGGTAGGAGTAATTGCATCATCTCGTGCGTTATGTTCCACCATCAACTGTAATTATATTTGCGCTGACCGGCATTTCTACCTGTTTATATATCTTTGATTGATGATTTGCAACTTTTCAGATCAAAGAGCTGGGTGACATCAAACCCCAAAACAATTCGAGAAATTCCCTCATGCAGTTACGGACTGGGATGACCCAGACCACCTCTTCGATTGGACCATCGAGTACAGGCACTTCGAACTTGCCGAATTGAATGATTACCAGCGCATACTCCCTGCAAGAGAAGTATGCACGTTTGCCCTGGTTTAACATTTGATCTCTTCAATGCTTTCATTCAAAATTTCATTACAATGCACAACCACATCATGGCTAAGAGTCTTGTTTACACATTACACATTAGTTGGGAATTCTTGTGGTACCTGCTCTTAACCTAGAAGTTTTTTTTGGTTGCGCTGCTTTTGTAAGGATAGCTCTTTATTAGTGATTTGCCTTAGACAACAGCACCCCATACTAATGTTTTTTTTAATGCTGACAAGTGTATAGCTCTTACTTTTTAAGAGAAAAAAGTGTACAACTGGAAATTGCTGAAATGATGGCATTTAGTAAAGCTCTAAATTACTTTGTTGGTATTTCTCTTAAGCGAATTGGCTCATGCTGAGGGTGTACTGCCTGGTGTCAAGCACCTAGTAGGCCGTAGCTTAACTCTTCAAGATCTTTCCAATCAACGTTTTTTTGGCAGTTAACACTAGTTTTCCTTTTTTTTTCTGTCCACATGTTGTTCCAATGTTGAATGCAGCATGTTGTTTCTAGGGGGCGCTGTGGTTCTGGGTCTTGTTAATTTGCCAATACAATACTAGAATGCCTTGTATCTGGTTCTAGACATATAGCAAAGCAGTTTAGTGTAATGCCATCATGCTAGCCCATTGCTGAAAACAGGAAACTATAACAACTCAATTTTGGAGAGGCTAACCATATATTTTCTGAAAGCTAGAACCATATATCTTAAAATCACTCTAAATATTGTTTAGCTGCGAGTTCTGCTCTGAGTTACCACAAAACGCTCAATTTAAACTTTCTCAAATGTGTTGAGCACCACAACAGATGCATGATTCTAGCATTATTTCATTAGCTGTTTAGTGCACATCTTTAATTTTGTTGGCAGCAAATTAATGAGTACTGTTGGTGGGATGACTACAGCTCAACCTTTAGCAACTACGAAACTGATGTGGACTATGTCATGTACTTTGATGCACTATCAAAGAAGATCAAGGTATGTGTAGTGTTGACTTGCTATTGAAAAATCTTTAAAAAAAATGTGTGGTAGCTTGAATTGTTTTTTTACTGACAACTCTCTGGGATAGTGGATTGAAGAATATCTGGATCTGAATAGTAAAGAGGTAAGCAAGAATGCTGAAATTATGTAGGGAACTAATATTAAGTGTAGTCAAGTGCCATGATAACTTCTTTGCTCTTCAGCTTTTGAAGTTGGAGCACAGGGGATTTCACCAAGCCATGAAGATTGCAGCAGACTTGTCATGGTCGGGCGCACGTATTCCAGGCGACGCGGAGCACGTAGTACGCGCGGGAGGCGCGCACGAGGACGCGCTGGGCGCGATCACCGTTAGTGGCTGAGAGGGAAATTAGAAATAGCTTTCTATTATTAGTTCCTAAATTAAAGGAGCATGTTTCTCCGGTTGGTTGAGGCCAATGGCCATATATATATCCCTGTAACAGACGTGTGGAAAAAGGAGAAGAATATTACCGATCTAATCTTCCTCCTCTCTTCAACCAAGCCTGCGGCTGAGGATTAACCTCGCTGGAGAAGACGGACCGAGGCTACGAGCTACGTAGCCGAGGTCCAGCTACTCGAGGGTTCAACGCCCTTGACAACCTGGTATCACGATCCCGGCGATCCTCGCCTTCCCGATCCACCTCACCACCAGCCGCCACCATCCCACCACCTCCTACAACCGCCGCGCCGCCATCATCCACTTCGTCGTCCGCCACGTCGTGTCCAGCCGACATGGGTGACGTTAATGACCTCAAGGCCACCGTGGACTCCCTCACCAACGCCATGAAGACGCTGCACGCCATGGTCGAGGCCAACGCCAAGGCCATCGCCTCCCTCACCTCCGACCGCACGTCGTCCTCGGGCTCCAAGCTGGGCTCCGGCGAGCACCACAATGATCGGCCGCCAAAATTCCAGAAGATGGATTTTCCCCGGTATGATGGCAAGACCGATACCCTCATCTTCATCAATCGCTGCGAGTCCTACTTCCACCAGCAGCGGATCATGGAGGAAGAGAAGGTCTGGATGGCCTCCTACAACCTCGAGGACGGGGCGCAGATGTGGTATATTCAGGTCCAAACGGACGAGGGCACTCCGTCGTGGCGCCGGTTCACGGAACTGCTCAACCTGCGCTACGGCCCCCCTCTCCGCGCTGCTCCCCTCTTCGAACTGGCGGATTGCCTTCGCATGAGCACCGTCGCGAGTATCGGGGATCGCTTCAGTGCTTCTTCCATGCTACGGCCCCGGAAGAGGCGCAAAGGTCTGTTGTTCGTTCATGGCCGCCTTCTTCCGCACCGCCCTCGACATTCGAGTTCACAATCCGCAATCCCTTGCGGCTGCCATGAGCTCGGCGCGCCCGATTGAGCTCCGGAGGAAGCGACGCGCGCATTCGCCAAGGTCGCGCCCGTGGCTCGCTATCGGCCCTCGCGGCTACTGGCCCCTCCTGGTGCCACGATCGCCAAAGGCGACGCGCTTTGGTCGCGGTGGATGATCGGCCGCGCCGGTCAGCGCTGTCTCGCCGGAGCAGAGGAGCGCGGCGACAGGCCTCGCTTCAAGCGCAACGAAGCGGTACATGCGCAGGCACAACCGCGTCTGCAAGCGGATCTTCTTCGTCAACGGCGTCGACATCGCCAACGCCGAGGACGCGCCGGACGCGGAGGCCCCGGTTTTCTCCTTGCACGCGGTCGCTGGGGTCCCCATCTACAACACCATCCAGCTCCAAGTGCTCCTGGCCGCCGCCTCTTTCGTCGCGCTCATTGACACCGGCTCCACCCACAGTTTCATCGAGGGGGCGGCGGCGCGGCGGCTGCGGGCTTTGCCATCGAGCGCGCCCACGGCTCGCGCAACACATAATGGCAAGCGGCGGCGCGTCTCCGCCCGGCATGATCCGCCAAGCCCCGATCCTCATCGACGGCATGGAGTTCCGCGTCGACCTCTTCGTGATGCCCCTAGCCGGATACGACGTGGTCCTCAGACGACTTTGGATGGCCTACGTTGGGGCCCCTCGTGCGGGACCTCACTACTAGGACCATGGCGTTCGGTAGGGAGGGCGACTGCCGTGCATTGGTGTGGCGTGGCACCACCAACGACGCCGGGCCTCCATGCCGCCACGACCGACGACTCCCTCCTCGAGGGGCTACTCGGCTCCTTCGACGACGTCTTCGCCGAGTCGAAGAGGCTGCCTCCAGCGCGCGCCCGTGATCACCACATCGTCCTCAAGCTCGACGCGGCCCCGGTGGCTGTGCGGCCGTACAGGTACCCTGTGGCCCACAAAGATGAACCGGAGCGGCAGTGCGCCGCCATGATCGAGCAGGGAATCATCCGCCGCAGCGACTCGACGTTCTCCTCCCCCGTCCTCCTCGTCAAGAAGCCGGACGAGTCGTGGCGGTTCTGCGTCGACTACCGCGCGTTGAATGCGCTCACGATGAAGGACGCGTTTCCGATTCCGGTCGTCGACGAGCTGCTCGACGAGCTCCACGGCGCACGGTTCTTCTCCAAGCTGGACTTGCGCTCCGGGTACCATCAGGTGCACATGAGGCCGAAGGACATCCACAAGACGGCGTTCCGCACCCGCGACGGCCTCTACGAGTTCTTGGTCATGCCGTTCGGGCTATGCAACGCCCCGGCAACGTTCCAGGCTCTCATGAATGACGTACTCCGCCCATTCCTTCGTCGCTTTGTGCTCGTTTTCTTTGACGACATCTTGATATACAGCAAGTCCTGGGCGGATCATCTTCGTCATCTTCAAGCCGTCCTCACCGAGCCGCGCCACCAACGCCTCTTCGTCAAGCGCTCCAAGTGCGCGTTCGGTGTCACCTCCGTCTCCTACCTCGGCCACATCATATCGGAGGCAGGCGTCGCCATGGATCCGGCCAAGGTGCAGGCCATTCATGACTGGCCGGTTCCTTGCTCGGCGCGAGCAGTGCGCAGCTTCCTCGGCTTGGCGGGCTACTACCGCAAGTTCGTCCACAACTACGGCTCGGTCGCGGCGCCGCTGACAACCCTCCTCAAGAAGGACGACTTCTCCTGGAACGACGATGCGGCCGCGGCTTTCGGTGCGCTCAAGGCCGCGGTCACTACGGCTCCCATCCTCGCCATGCCGGACTTCCCCAAGACGTTCGTCGTCGAGTGCGACGCCTCGTCACATGGCTTTGGGGCGGTGCTCATTCAAGACGGACACCGATTGCCTTCTTCACCGCCCGTGGCACTTTCGCCACAAGCGCCTCGCGCAGCATCTTAACGGAGCTCATCGGCCGGGTCCACGCCAGACGCCATCGGAGGTCGTACCTCTGGGGCCGCCGTTTCCTCGTCAAGACGGACCATTACAGCTTGAAGTACTTGCTAGACCAACGCTTCGCCACCATTCCGCAACACTATTGGGTGGGCAAGTTGTTGGGCTTCGACTTCACCGTCGACCTAAGCCGGGTCGCGGCGAACGCCATGGTCGACGCTACGTGTCCGGCTGCGTGACCTGAGGAGAGGCGCGCTCGCGCTTTCGGCCCCGCGCTTCGACTTCATCGACCACCTCCACCAAGCACAGCAAACCGACCCGGCTCTAGTCGGCCTTCGCGAGGACATCAGCGCCGGCTCCCGCGGGGCGCCCTAGTCGGTTGTGGACGGCATGACCAGTTTGTCGGGCGGTTGTACATACCGCCGACCTCGCCTTTGCTCCAGGAGATCATGGTGGCTGTCCACGAGGACGGACACGAGGGGGTTCAGCGCACGCTGCACCGACTGCGGCGCGACTTTCATTTTCCTAGCATGAAGCAGTTTGTTCAGGACTTGGTGCGCACGTGCGTCATCTGCCAGCGATACAAGTCCGAGCACTTGCACTCGGCTGGCCTCCTGCTCCCCCTTCCAGTGCCCCAGGGGATTTGGACTAATATCACCCTCGACTTCGTTGAAGTGCTCCCTCGCGTCCGTGGCAAGTCCGTCATACTGACCGTGGTGGACAGGTTCAGTAGTATTGTCATTTCATTCCACTGGCGCATCCGTACTCCGCCGAATCCGTCGCTCAGGCATTCTTCACCGAGATTGTACGACTACACGGCATGCCCCAGTCCATGGTGTCGGACAGGGACCCGGTCTTCACGTCGACGTTCTGGCGCGAGCTCATGCGCCTGATGGGTACCAAGCTACACATGACGACGACGTTCCATCCTCAGTCCGATGGACAATCGGAGGCTGCCAACCGCGTCATCATCATGTACCTGCGGTGCCTCACCGGGGACAGGCCACGGCAGTGGCTACGCTGGCTGCCCTGGGCGGAGTTCGTCTTCAACACCGCCTACCAGTCGTCGCTGCGGGACACACCCTTCCGTGTCGTCTAAGGGCGCGATCCGCCGTCCATCCGGTCGTATGAACAGGGCGAGACAAGGGTGGCTGCTGTCGCCATGAGCATGGAGGAGCGCGCAGAGTTCCTGGCCGACATCCACTACCGGCTGGAACAAGCTCAGGAGACGCAGAAGCTGCACTACGACAAGGCGCACCGCCACGTCGAGTACCGGGTGGGCGACTGGGCGCCTCCGTCTCCGGCGTCTTGTGGCGTCTACTTCCCGCCGTCACACCGACAAGCTCAAGCCGCGCTTCAAAGCCGCATCTGCCACCGAAGCCGATTAACGACGTCGCGGTCCGCCTCGCCTTTGCCGGCCCGAGCTCGCGATTCACGATGTGTTCCATGTGGGTTTGCTCAAGAAGTTCCAAGGGCCGACGCCGGACGATCCTCCGCCGCCGCCAGATCATGGCGCCGTCGCCCCGAGCGAACGTCTTTGTCCGCTTCCGTCTCGCTCATGGGTGTACTGTGTTCTTGTCGATGGAGGGCGAGTCGACAGCGTCCGCGACCTAGGAAGATGTCGAGCCGTTCCGCGCCAAGTACCCGGAAGTCCAACTCGAGGACGAGCTGCTCCTCGACGGGGGGAGAGATGTCATGGTCGGGCACACGTATTCCAGGCGCCGCCTGCGGACGTAGCGCCGCGACGCGAGGCCAAGAAGATGCTGGGAGGCGCTAAGACGAGGGACGCTACTGGGCGCGATCACCGTTAGTGGCTGAGAGGGAAATTATAAATAGCTTTCTATTATTAGTTCCTAAATTAAAGGAGCATGTTGCTCCGGTTGGTTGAGGCCAAGGGCCATATATATATCCCTGTAACAGACGTGTGGAAAAAGGAGAAGAATATTACCGATCTAATCTTCCTCCTCTCTTCAACCAAGCCTGCGGCAGAGGATTAACCTCGCCGGAGAAGACGGACCGAGGCTACGAGCTACGTAGCCGAGGTCCAGCTACTCGAGGGTTCAACGCCCTTGACAGACTTCTGCCATTTGCCTCTTTCTTTAGCTAAGCGTGGTTATGAGGTAGGGTTATTTTGGTTTTTAACTTAGTTGAGAATGTGGTAGTTGATATACTTCATAGCTTTATTATCTCTAAACTCAGGAGTATATTTTGAGCCTGAAACGAAAGTTCAAACTGAGGGGGGTTGACCATATTTGTTTTGAGCTTTGGAAGCGAGTCACTAAGCAAAAGGTTGACCTCATGGCCTAAAATAACTGATGATGTTTGTTTGTGTATAATCTTGTTGTCTATACCGAGTGATTTATGTTTTCTTTCTTGAATGAGCAGATGAGTTTCATAGAGGCTTTGAGGGAAATCCATGCGGCAAATATGTTTAAAAACATGCATCAAGAATTGAAGCTGAGATCCAGGGTGTCAGAAAAGACTTGCAATACCACGTAGGTTCTGTTTCTTCACATGCATCACCCAATTTTTGCAACCATGTGTTTCATGGTGGATTCTGCTTTTACTTCACATGCATCACCCAATTTTTGCAACCATGTGTTTCATGGTGGATTCTGCTTTTACAGCGCTGATGACTTGTCATTTGTTTCTATTTTTAGTTTGACATCTGCAAGGATAAGATTCCAAACCATGTAAGTATGATTTTGTGTACATGCCAATTGTGTTCTGTTCTTTCCGTTGATGTCTTTTCTGTTTGCCTGTTAGGCTGTGGAGGATGGCGAAGTTTTGAAGAATATTACTTTTGCGATTCACAAGGTTAGTTAATGTGTTTTCTATGGCCCTGCCGCTGCAGCTGCAGCTGGTCTTCAGTCTTCACCGCGGCAAAGTATTGTAGCTTGAGCTGGAAACGCTGCAGTTGCTGCAGCTTCCAGCTGTAAACGGGCCCAATATTTTATTTGCTTATACTCTTCATGCTTGTTTTGTACCGATTAGTTAATTGTAACCTTTCCTTTCAGTTGACAGGAGAAAAGGACTTTCTGGATTTTACGATAAAGAAGCTTAAGATTGCACAGCGTCTTCAGCTGACTCCCTCCCCGTATGGATTCTGTGGCTTTTATTTATGATAGTTTAATCATGTTCATTTTATAGGCGAGTTTTGCACGCTCTCGCAATTAAAATAGTTCCCACATTTTATAATGTCCTTTTATAAGTAATAATCAACCTAGGGCCTTCTAAACCTGAGGATGGTAAAGAGTAACATTGACCAATTGCAGTAGTTTTATGCTGTATGCTTTTGCATTAGTCAGGATGCCTTATGGTACCATCTGAATGGATGTCTCATTAGTTGATTTTGCTTAGACCACAGCATTGCATAAATCATGAGGTCCCTGGTTCCAAAAAAAATGCTCTCAGTCTACAACACTTTCTAGGAGGAAAAAAATGTGGCTAACTGAAAATCTCTGAAATGCATGCTATTTAGCCAAGCTCTAAAATAACTTTGTTGGAAGGGCCTTGTTGGCATGTCTTTGTTAGCTGCTTTGTTCATGCTGAGGACACTGTTTTTTGGTTCTGCATTGTCAAGCCACTGACAGTCTTCACATTTTCTTTCGCGATTCTCATTTTCTTTCGTGCTGTTCTTTTCTTTTGATTTGAGAAAAATGTTTCGATACTTACACTAGTTCTCTTTCCTTGTCATGCAGCTGCTTCACACAGGAGCTAAAACGAGTGTTGGACTGCAAGGGAGAGGAATAAGATGCTCCACGCTCATCAACTTCCTTTCGATGGTCATGGTCATCGTCACTGGAAATTACAAACAAGCCACATGATGCGTTGCGTCCCATAAAGCTGTAGCTCTGTTCACCTGAATAGGCTTAGAACGCTGTGATAAGAACTGAGTGGTGACTAACTTGTGCAGTACTACTGTATCAGACATGTTGTACTCGTCACAGGCATTCACATCACCCTCTAGCTATAATTTAGTAGTAGCAAGTTTGAACCCTCATCTTTCAATTTGATGATGGTTGTGTTCCTCGAGCAAGTATTTTCTTAGCTTATCATCCCGTCTTTCCTTTCACGTTCATTAAAAGCAGGCTCAGCTCACCTTCAACTCATTTTTGCCTTGTTCGCTTGGCTGATAAGCCATGATTGAAAGTACTGTTGACTGATTTGTTGTGAGAGAGGGCCGTCGCGGGTCCCCTGGCGGCTGCAGGCAGGGAGTTGTGGGCGGCAGCGCCGCGAGGGGGATGAGGGAGAGAAGGCCGGCGGCGGAGTGAGAGAGGGAGGCCATGCGGGACATAGTCTCCGGATACCTTGCAAGGAAGGGAGAAGATCTAGTCCGACTAGGATTCCCTATATGTAATCTTAATATGACTGTTACCTTATAATCCTATTAGGACTCTTATTGTAACTGACTAAGAGACTTGCCTCCTAGATTATATAAAGGAGGGCAGGGCTCCCTAGATTGGTAGACGTGTAACAATCAATCATACACAACACCCCAACGCAAAGGCACCATACCTAACTGGACTAGGGTATTATGCTATTCAACGACCTGAACTAGTATAAATCGTTGTCTTTCGCGTTTATCGTTGAGTTTTGCATATGCCGAAGCCCACCAATCATTGTCACTATCCGCCCACCGGCTTGGCAAGCAAGCCGATAATCCTCGAGCCACAGTCCGGGGTTTGTCTCCCCGGAGTATTTTGGGATGTTGGTCGGCGATCGGCACTGCGGTGGGAAGACGGCGTTGAGGATGTGTCGGCCAAAGGCCTGAGGTCCCGGCAAGTCGGGGCTTGGGCTTCGGTCCTCGCCGCTGTCGTAGCGCCCGCCACGACGAGGGAGGTAGCAGGCATCCAGGGTGTCGCGCGCGTCACGGTGGAGGCCGAGACACTCATGCACCGGGATCGCGGCGCGCGGCCTGCCGCCTCGCTGCGCCTGGTGAAATAACATGTCCCTGTCGGGACAACGAGCTCTCGGCCTACTGCGCCGCCTCACTCTCGAGTAGCGTGCGAATCTCGCGATGGGCCCGACGATCCTTGGGCGTCGCGGGCCCCGAAAACCCCCGAAGCAAGGCCGTCGCGGCGGCGATGTTCTAGCTTGCCCGGGTGAAGTGTGGGAGGGCTTCGTTGTCCTCGATTGTCATCCGGTTCACGTCGCGGGCCACAACGCGCGCACGCCCACCGTCTCTGTGGCGCTCGATCTCTCGCTCGAGCTCTGCGCGTTCCTGCTCCAGCTGGAGTCGTGCTTCTTCGAGCTCTTGGTGCCGCGCCCTCAGCTGCTCTACCCGTAGGCGAGATGGGGCCCCTGCGTCCCCCTCAACCTCGTCGTCGAGGTCGTCTGTTGGGGCAGCCCCTCCCTCGCGGATGCTTTCGACGTATCCCTCGGGAGTACCTGCCATGAAACATTCTCACGAGGGGTGATGGCTCCCCCTACTGGAGTCAGAGTCAGAGGGCGACTCCGATTCTCCCGTGAGAAGGTCGTGGAAAGATTCCACGACGTATTCGGTCATCCTCACGAACTCGTCGTTCGTAGGGGATGGGGGCGTGCGCTGTGCCACAAGGTGGCCAATGGGCCCTGCGGCGTTGCGCAGACCGAACGAGAGCGTTGTCGGGGCGTTCCGGATGAGGTATTTCGGGGAGAGCGGCTCTCCTCCGGCAAGCTGCGTCATGACGTTGGCGAACGAGAAGGTGAGGCGGCGCAGGTCCTCTCGGGACGGTCGGAGTCCCAGGAAGGCGCCGAGTTGGCGCTCTAGCCTCCCGTAATCGAAGCCGAGGAGCTGGTCGCTCCCGGGGACGCGGGCCTCCGACAAGTGCAGCTGCAGCTCCTCAAGCGCCTCGGCGATCGCGTCGAGGCCGGCGGAGTGGAGGCTAGACGGCGGCAGGAACCTGCGCCAACTCTCCCTCCGTCGTAACGATGAAGTTCAGGTTCCCGAAGCGCCCGTGCGCGCCCGATACCCAGCTGACGCCGTGACTAGCCAGCCGAGGCCTGATGTGGACGTCGAGACACGCAAAAACCCCTACCTAGCGCGCCAACTGTCGGTGTTTTCGGACCACCGACGAGTAAATTTGTATTTGCGCGTCTGGCTCGGATGATGTGGACGTCGAGACGCGCAAAAAGCCCCTACTGGTTCGGACGGAACGTCCCTACGTCCAGTTTGTTGCTGCTCGTGTTACCGGCACTTGTTTTGCAGTAGGGGTTACAAACAGGCGAGAGAAGGAGAGGATCCCAAGTCTCTGGTGGGAGGAGTGAACGGGTGCTGAGAGCTCGCTTGCCACTCACCCGTGTGCTCGTGTCGTGCTCTTGTGTTCAGATCTCGTCCCGTGTCGAGATCCCCCCCTAGCGTGGGGCGCACTGCTTCCCCTTTTATAGACGAAGGGAAAGCGCGGGTTATAGAGGAGGAAAAAGAGAAGAACGAGAGAGAAGAAGGCTTCCAAGGTTATCGGGTCCTTCTCCTTCATGCGGGTCCCGCCGATCCTGTAGATGTCAACAGGGACGGCTTCATGTCGCGGTCCTGTTCGTCACTAGCGCCATGCGCAGACGTCATCTGCTAGTCATGGCGTTCCACTCCACCAACGGACGTCATGGTGAACTGACGCGCCTGTCAGCGTCCGTACTAGGATTAGGCAGAACAGCACCGGCACGTCCGACACTGTTCTTGATGTGAATCCCCAGGTATGGCCCGTCATGGCCACGGGTTACATCCAGCCTCTTCCCTGGCGTCAAAGTTGACCCAGGCCCATACGCTTGGACCTGGAGTGGTTGACGGCGGTATGGGTCCCCGTCGAACGAGACGGAACCCGCGTCCTCGAGGTCGGGTGAGACGAAGCCCGTGACCTTGGGCGAGACGGAGCCCGCACCCAAGAGGTCGGGCGAGACGGAGCCCGCGGCCTCGAGGTCGGGCGAGACGGGGCCTGCACCCAAAGGGTCGGGCGAGACGGAGCCAGAACCCAAGGGGTCGGGCTAGACGGAGCCCGTACCCAAGGGGTCGGGCGAGACGGGGCCCGCGGCCTTGAGGTCGAGCGAGACCTTTTAATACGTCTCGAGCCATCCGGGGAAGTCGGCGTGGTCGCTAACTTGCTTGCTTTGGTTATCCCTAATACCGATACCCAACACAGTGTGAAACAACATATACTCCATCCGATCTGGTATATTAGGCAGAGGCAAAAAAATCACAAAACCAAAACATACACAATGACTAATGTCGGGTGCCACGCTACGACTTCGGCATGTATGTATGCAAATATCGACTTCTGCATGTATGCATGCATGCCATGAGCATGGCCTACCCCACACCCCGCTCAAGGAAGCGCATGCATGCAAGCAGAGTGATGACGCTTCTCTTCTCGGTGAGTTAATGCACACAGAGATCAAAGCAACACGCCTAATAAAATGGAATCATGATTTTTGTTGTGTCGCCTAATAAAATGGAGTGGAGGGTGTACCATCTAAGCTCAGTGTCCCACATCAAAATTTTCCTATGGCAAAATAGGTACTCTCTTTCGAAAGTAAGACTGTAGGGAGTACCATCTAAGGAAGAGGGCATCCTCATTCTTGCTTCACAATCTTTGAAAACATGATGCAAAACCCATCCAATCAAAGGTAAGGAGAAGTACTTACTCAAACACAGATGCTAGCTGGGTGAATCCACTAAAGGGGCACCATTGAAATCCAAAAGGCTGTGAATAAAGACAACAGGATAATGAGAAATAGGAAAGGTTAAATTATGACAGGTAATAATGATGTACTAAGACTGCAAAATGTGTCTTCTAGTATTCCCTCCTTTAATTTTTATAACGTGCAGTTTGACCATTCAAGTTCATGCTTTGACCAACAATTAGTCCAATAACATGAGTCATGTGCCACAAAGATAGTGTTAGGTTCGTATTCAAAATCATTTGCTGATGAATATGAATTTATGATACTGTAACTCATATCAATAAAATATTATAGGGAAAATTTACAGCCAAAGATCAATTTGCCTAGTTAAACTACTCCCTGAAAAGAGGGAGAACAAGCTACCAAAACATTGTAAGCCAGCAGCACTATAAGTCTATAACACCTGTTCTAGTGCCTATAGTACAAACTAAAAAGACGACTGCTCATGAAGCAGAATCAACAGAAATGTAAGTTAGTACTTGTATGACATAAATGTTTATTTACTCAAATATGTGCACTTACAAGCTCGGAGGTGATATCATAGTTGTCGCTAGTCACCCAGCCACCCATATCAATATCAGCAGAGGGGCGATGTCCGCTTGCATAAAGCCAGCGACCTTTCTCAATCTTCCGACAATTAGGGCATTGCATCGCTCCTTTTGCATTGAATGCGGACCCAATACAATCTGGCAAGAAAAACGTGTTTAGTTCAGCAATCTGCCTAAGATATCATAATGTATTTTTCACGCTCACGTTCATATAAACGCACAGGGGTGAGGGGACAGAGACATTCTTGGAGATAAGATCAAAAAAGCAGATGCGACAACAAATTGTGCTGATGGTATTCAAGACTTCAAGTTGAACTAAACTTTGGTGCTCGACAAAATTTCGAGGTGCAGTCAGTACTTGACACAAGAAGGTGTGACCTGAATTGGAAAAGCAAGCCCCAAAGGTCCGAACCTTTCATGTTGTCACTAGGCAAAAGCCGTTATAGACCTAATAACTAAGCTAAATTGCCACAAGCAACTGGCCAACCGCTAGTGAAACAACCTAAATTACCGCTACATTCAAGCTTACGGATTCGCTCGTCAGACCTGGGGCTCCAATTACGCAGGAACGGCTCTACTTACCTGGTTACTCTTACACGTGCAGTTCCCATCCCCAACCTAAATTACCACTAAATTCAAGCTTACGGATTTGCTCGTCAGACCTGGGGCTCCAATTACGCGGGAACTGCTCTACTTACTCGGTAACTCTTACACGTGCAGTTCTCATCCCATCATCATCATCATCCGAACATGTATGTGCCTAAATATCCCCGTTGTTCAAGTCTGAACCACGTCGATGACGCTATGAAATCCTCAAAATCTACCCACCAGAATTCCTCTCTTACAGTAAATTACGCCTGATCCACGGCAAATTGCGCCCGTGGCGCACGGTACCCGACCAAAGCGACCATCACAAGCAGATCCGGATGATGAAACCCCGTAGCCTAGCAGCGGCGCGAGGGAATCTGACCTAGGTGGAACTCGTGTCCGCATTGCAGCTTGGCGACGGACCGGCCGGCGCCGCGGGCGAGCACCAGATCCAGGCAGATGGAGCAGGCCGCGGCCCCGCCCCCGCCGCCGGCCACTGCCGCCTCCGCCGGAGACGCCGGCGGCGACCTCTCCAGATCCATCTGCGCGCGCCCCCCGCTCCGCCTGCTGACTCTCTCTCTCTTCCTCGCCGCGGAGGCGCTCGTGGGGGTGGGCCGGTGGGGGACCGCGTGAGCTCGCACGGGAAGGACAGGACAGGAGAGGGGAGGAGAGAGAAACGAGAACGGTGTGTCCGAACGGAATGGAATGGAAGGAGGGTGGAAGACGGGAAAATGGGAGAAGTGATCGAGAAAAAATGGACGATAATTATTGGCCTTTTTTATGCTGGTTTTTTTACCTCGCAAATGTTTTGGCATGTTTTTGTGACGTGGGATGTCCGTGCGTAGTGGTTGTATGTTTACTGGTGACACTTGTTATGGTTTGTTTTTAGGGACAGGTTCGTTTTTAGATTTCTGTTGAGGGGATCATGCGCGCACAGGTTTTATTTCAATCAATAAACAGGCATGTGATCAAGTATTTACTACTATGTCACATGCCAAATTTTATTATTTAGAGACATCTTTTACATGTGGCATTTCAGGTATAGACTACTCAGCGAACTTGTATAAGGATATAAATAGCCTCACTTGAGTTCATCCCACACATTATCCAACCCCTTTTTTGGTTTCTTGATAGCCAAAAGGCATTATGTGGTATTTTTTCCAATATAAGTGGGTTGATAAAACATTTTTTGTTGCCAAATTTCATATATTTAAGTTCCATAATGGTCCTCTCCTTTTTGCGAATGAGAGCTTCATTTTAGGATTATGTTGGAGGCATCACGCGTCCATGCATAAGCAGTGGTAGATCTATGTATAAGCGGTGAGGCCACCCGTTTCCATAGTTTTTGCCAAAAATACATTTAACTCCCTTCATAGAATATAGAGTTTTATATGTTAATTGTGTAATGTTTGTATTAATTAATTGACTTAGAATCAACAAGTTTGACACAACACACAAGCTTTGAATCCTTTGAGATCCACCACTGTGCATAAGGGGGTATATTCCTTCAATGAGTGGGGTTTATATAATTGTTTGGCACGTCACTTACCAAATTTTATATTTCAGGACATCTTTTTTCATGTGGGTAATATATGGTATACAATATACTTTGGTAAACTTGTTAGGATGCAAATTGCATCACTACTTAGTCCGTATAATATTTTCCATATCTTGTTCTCTACATTGCTTCTTGATAGATAAACAGAAAACCAAGGTATACGAGTTGATAATACTTATGGTTAGCATAATTGCTTTGTTTTTAGGTTTCTGTTTAGGCCATTAAGTGGTACTTTTCTTGGCAAGCGGGTTTATAAAAGTCTTTATCATCATGTCACTTTGCCATTTGCCAAAGTATATATGATTCCTAGGAACATCTTTTATCATCATGTTCGCTTGATCGTATCAGCCATATTTATCAGCCACGATACAGTGTTTTTCTCTCACAACAAAACAGCATCAGCCGGCTTATAAGCCATAGAAACGATCAAGCGAACAGGATGATATGTGTATACATGGTCAGTACAAGGCCACTTGGTATTTATAAACTTCTTCCTGTTAGGATGTGAAGTGTGTTGCTTAAATTGCACTATGTCCATGTCGTATCTTGGTTATAGTTACCAACATAAGCTCATGACAATCAACCCTTTCCGCGGGCGAGTTATTCTCATGACAATCAAATCTTTCCGCGGGCGAGTTAAGAACTCTTGCATAACGATCGACTCTTGTGCATAGTGTCTTGTTTTTGTTTTTTATTTATTGGGTATTATAGTAAATTTGGCCGACATTGAGTATTGAAAACCAAGTGAATAACTGTTAAAAGACTTGTTTCGAAACAGCATTTTGAGGATTTAGATCGTACTCCGTACAAATAAATACAGTAGTTCGCTCAAAAAGAAAATAAATACAGTAGTTTACAGCAGTGCAAAGTTCCACCAAACAAACAGGCCACTGCTTTTGCACGGAAAAATGAATCTCTGCGTCCAAACTCCAAACAGGCCAGTAAATTAATAGTTTACAGCAGTGCAAACAAGAAACAAACACAAAGGACTTGGTCAAGAGTCAAGTACTGTCACGCATGCGAATCGAACACCCAAAAAAAGAACAAAACTAATGGGAAGCAGAGCCAGCACTGGTCGCCACAATTAGCTCCTCCAGCTGCTTGCTCATCCGGCGGCGAACCCTGGTGATGTACATGTCGGCGGCCCGGTCGATCTCGTCCTCGATCCTGAACTCCTGCGCGTCTCCCTCCCGACGCCTCTGGATGACGTCGATCACCGACCACTACTACAAATATTATTTGTAGAGGCGGTTCAAAACCATTTGTAGAGGTGGTTTGGCTAGTCACTCCTATTAAACCGTCTCTATAAATCATATATTTATAGGGGTGGTTTCTAGACCGCTCCTACAAATCGATTTATAGGGGCGGTTGTAGTACTAATCGCCCCTATAATACCTATTTGTAGGAGTGGTTCAGTCTAGAACCGTCCCTACAGTATATTTTTCCATAAAAAAATTCAAATTTACAATTCAAATTCGACCAGAACCGCCCTGTTTGTTTCCGCGTATTCCTGCGTTCACGTTGCGAGTGAGCGATCAACGTTTCAAACCGCGTTCGCTCAAGAGTATTATATAAACTACAAGAACAAGAGTATTATATAAACTACAATTACAAGTTCAATTTATAAGAATATATACAATCCATTATTAAATAGACATAATTCATAAGGTAAAACCAATGCCAAATTCCACACACATTGTTATCAACGGTCTAGAGCTAGTCTTTCAGTCTCACGAAGATGTTGGTACCGAGGATTTCTATCTAAGTCAGACTCTTAGTCATGGTAGGTGCATTTGACGTATACAATCTGGTCCAATATGAAGTTGTAAAGGTCGTCGACGAGCTCTAAGAGTTGGTCATCCTTGTATGGGTCTTTTTTCATTTCTTTCTCTTCTTTTCACTACAAGAAAACAAGTTTCGGTTTAGTATTTCATACCATGTACGAAGTTTTTATACTACGGGTGAAGACGTTCAAACTTACCCTTAAGGGGTGTCTCATGTAGGTACTGGTATTACTCATCATAAAACATACATAATATCCACAATGTACACTCTCAGGTTATTGATTTATTTTTCTATCCCCTCGTTTTCTCTTAGGCTTGGTAGTCATTGTTGTGTCTTGAGGTTGTGGAGTAGAGGCCTCAATGTCCCGTCTCTGTGGCTGTTGCATCTGCTCTCATTTCCTCTACTCCATCTTGTCTAGCGAGATGTCGCGGACGTCGACGTCGTCTTTTCTGAGTTTCAGGAGGGACCTGTATATACGACATGTCAAAGTGTTAGCAGAGGTAACATAGCCAAAGCTTTAGCAAAACTTATAAGCTAAGGCTTTATCCCTACCTTCTCGTTCAGGTCAAAATCCTTGTCCAAATCTTCCTCCGTTGGCCTCCTTCTAGCTTCACGTGGGAAAGGATTCCCGGGACTTACATATCCCTCTTCTGAGTCATTATTATCATCATCCTCTTCTTCTTCGCCTTCAGCAGTCTCTTCTGCTCTTTCTTCTGCTCCCCCTTCCTTCTCGTCACACTGCTCCTGGCTAAGCATCACTTCTAAACTATTTTCTAACTCATTATTGAACTGCTCCTGAGTAAGCTGGTCCTCTAGTGCTTGCTCCTCATAGGTTGGCTGCTCATCATGCTCGGGGCATCGGGCTGTACTGTCTGGTGTCCGCGATATTATTTCGCGCTTTATTTTAATAGATGCAAGAAAGTGTGCTTTAAGTACGCGAGAAGGTATAAAAAATCAAAAAGGTTTATAAACCAAAGTAATCCTATAAAACAACAATATATCAAAAAATGAGTAGTAGCAGTAGTAGAGACCTCAGAAACTTGTCAATCATCATTTGATCATGAACTTAGAGCATCAAGGCATCATAACAGAGAAGAGAGGAGAAGATAATGTAAGGACGGCTACTAATGATGTCAAGTTCCTCACAAGTTCTTGATCATCAGCTCATATTCCATATAATGTATGGACTTAGACAATTTCATCATCGGCAAAACAAATGAGAGAAGAGAGAGAGGAGATTTGGTAAAAAAAGCAACAGCTGCTTAACAAACATAAATAGAAAAATGTGTAAAAAAGCAGCAGCTGCTTCCCAAATATAGAGTATAGAAAAGATGGCAAAAAAAACAACAACTGCGTATAAGTAGGAGGCCATTCGATCATCATATGAGCTACCTCATATGCCTGAGTTGAGTCTAAGTTGTGGCATGGATTGCCATACTGACTTTGCTCGATCACACATGAACATCGTATGCTTAATATCTTCCGAACCTGATAGGCAGATCGGACAATCAGAATACACCATCCGACTATGTCAATATAATAGTTGGTATATGTTAAAACGAAAAAATCGTACTCCTATTCTTTGACCACGTTGGCATTTTTCAACTTTTGGTTACTCTAGGACAAGACCACAGGCTCAGGTTGAATGCTTCAGCCTTAATGACATCAGAACTAGAGGCCATTGCAGGGATTGGTTTTTTGGATTGTTGTTAATTTTGAGATATAAGTGACATGCTTCCACCATATTTAAATAAATTAAATATTCTATTTCCTAATATAACAAGCATTTAATCCAAACAAAAGCCATAATAAATGTGATAAAAAAGGAGCAAGATCATTTCCACAGCTTGTATAAAAGAAATATAGCTACTCAAGATCATTTCAACATTTATCATGGCAAGTATATAGATGAAGAATGCTTATTAAGTGCATAAACATGGTTGTTTATATATATTTGCTCTCAAATCAGTGGGTAACTGCTTTAGGCAGCCTTCCAATGCTTGTTGGTGATCACTGATCCTAGACTAATGTGACAGTCTAATCTTACCAATTTCAGGGTTTTAGAACAAATATTAAATGCCTAGAAACTGTTGCCTGATGTCCAAAACAGTAAGAACAGAGGTAACACAGTTTATAGCTCATAAGATTAAAGAACAGAACTGCAGGTAATGCTGTTCAACAGTAGAGAAAATTTCTAGC